AGGTAAAAAGAGTGTGGCTACTGTCAATGCATCTGAGGCACAAGTTACGGATGAAAGCCTGGTCCCGGAAAAGACAACAAATCATTGTAAAGATAGACCGATTATTTGAGCAGGACAAAACATAACCGACGAAAACAAATACCTTCTAACAATGAGTTAGATGCTGGCACACGGGCCAGTTCAGCACACAGTGCAGTTGATTAAAGGTTACAAGGAAACTGCGAAAGGATGTTAAATGTATCCTCCTACGTGCTGATATAGGACTAACAACCACCAACAACGAGCCAAAAAGGCAATAATAATAAAAACAGGGCTCTTCTTGATGATACAGGATGCTACAGACCAGTAGAGACACCACAGGCCACAGGAATGGTCGATCGGCTGGCACAGGAATGTAATTACGGAGGAATTACAATAAGCACCAACAGACACTGTTCTGGTCCGATTTTGGATTCTGTCAATGAGTAATAAAGTAAATGTTCAATTACGGATAACTTTTGCCCTAAAAGACTGTTCATTTTTTAAGTTGACAAAGTATGTGCTCCAAACTGAAGTCCCCTTCAGATAACCCGACTACCTCAGTGTCAACGGCCTTCCAATTCCTGCTAAGCCTGCAAACTCAACAGATTCTCCTGACTAAACTCATGGTCTATTCCGACGTGATATCGATATTTAAACCCAGCTCATTGGACACTGCACACAAAATAGTGAGGAAAGGATAGGAAGAGACACCAGACGAAACACAGACTCCTTCCAGGATTTTGCATCTCACGTTCAAATTTTGACAGAAAAATTACTTCACTTTTGCCGACGAAACCTATAGGTAGATCAATTGTACGCTAGTAGGCGAAAAGTGGAAGCACCTTCACTAATGCTTAGCTGCGAAGAAAGCACATCTTCGCTTTTGGCGAGGAAACAGTCACGGAACAGCAAGATAAATATTAATTTCTGGACAAGGGGTGTTTCTCCTGGTGCCATTGGCTGTTGAAAAGTGCAAGCCGGGCGCGCTGGTTAGGGCTGCCTGGCTGCCTGAAAAGTCAGCAAAACCTTAATCCGTAAGATAGCAGTTGCGACTTTGCGCAGGGATCATTTCCTGTGATTTTTGACCCAAACTTGCAGGATTGTGCCGGAAACCGACATGCCAGAGAAGGGTATTAGAATTGAGTGACTTCTGCTACCTCTTATTTACCAGACACATGAGTTTGCTTATTTCGAAAACATCCTTTGGTGAAAGTCCCCTCAGATATGTGAACACGTCCAACTATCCGAAGGTTAATCAAAAAGAAAATTCGTTCCTCTGATTTCCTATAACCCAGGCTAACAGATAATGAAGATCTGACGTTTGACGTACTAAAGTACCGCGGAGTTCGGTAAAAGCGCTGTAGTAGAGCAGCTGTGAACCGTCATTCAATAAGTCTCAATACAACTGGTGTCTTGCAAGTTGGTTCCAAAAGGCTGAAACGTTAGATGCGATTACCTCAAACAAGCAATTTGGACGGTGCTTAGGGAACCGCATGCACAGAACATTTCCCTGAAAAGCGCTGAGGAAATTACTAAACAAAGTAGTGAAATCTCAACCGTCTGATCGATTATTTTGTGAGTGTTGCACGGCACACTTTACCAGAAATACATGCATTTAAGGAAATAAGGAATGCACTTATTTTAGACGTTGTTGAACAAGCTGATTTGGCCAGTTTAACCTTAAGGGCAGACGGAATTGGATTTCTGGAGAATTCTCCGACAAAGTTAGCCCCATCATCTGACGTCTCGAAAGTACTGAAATACCGAAAATGACGTCTAAATCAATACAAAAACGCTTTACTTGCCAAATATATCAGCGTGCTGATACACTTTTTATGGAGCTTCCTTTCAAACTTTTTTATGTGTACGAGCCACAAAATTTAACTGATTTGAAAAGCAGACTCAAAACTAACTAAAGCCATCGATACTTGACTTTAAAGAGAAAAAAGGAGCAGGACGACTTACTTCGTCTATTCTGTCTTGCCATCCGAGACGAAGGATACCGGCCTCAGCCAGGATAATCGCATCATAAGCGGAGGGCTGATGGGAGGACCCACCGTTAGTGTTTTTTGTATCACTGCAAGCGTCAAGTTTTTGGAGGCGCGTAGATAAATTGCCTCGAATAGAAGAAAAGTCAAGATGCGGATGCTTTCGTCGGAGGATAGCGATTCTTCGCAACGCGCTTGTGCCCACATTAGAGTTTTTCGGTAATTCAGCCAATTTCTTGCCTCTATTGGCATTCGACATCAAAACAACATCGAACGGAGACACACGATTGGTCACGCATCCTAGCACCAGGCCGGGTGGCATTACAGTTGGAACGTCTTTCAAAGAGTGCACAACAAAGTCAACTTCTTTCAAGTACAATGCATTTTCCAGTTCCTTTGTAAACAGGTTCTTGTCTCCAATTTTTGATAGGGCCATGTCAAGTATTTTATCTCCTTTGGTTGACATTTTAACGACCTCAAAACGGAGGTCGGGGAAATTCTCTTGAAGTGCTTCAATAACAATATTTGTCTGAACAAGGGCCAGCTGGCTTTTTCTGGAACCCACGCGAATAACACGTGTAATTTTCTCTACTTCGTTCATGGTAACTTTGACAGAAAAGTCAAAATTGACTTATTCTAACTACTCCTTGGATGTGGATACCTGGAATAAAAATTAAGCTGTTTAAATCTATAAGAAAAGTGTATAGACTAGAGAAAACAGCGTAGAGTGGATGCAAGTGAGTTTAGAAAAGCAAAGGCTACTCATAGCCCCCCAAAACACTACTTAACTAGACTAAATACTGCTAGGTCTAGCCCGTTTTTCAAAATCCCCACTTTAACAACAAACTGCTGATACAATAACAGTTCTGATAGAAATTAAATTTTCGGGAAAAACCTCAACCCAGAAACTGACATTACCATGTGGTGTATAGTGAAAAGGAAAATTTAGACCCCACACAGAATATAAGTGTTTACTATGCGTACAAAAATAGAGAAGGGTTTTTTTGTTTGTACAAGGGAAGATTAAAAGTATGGTGTTTGAAACGAACCAATCTTGCCGTTCGTCGTGTATGATTGGAAATTGTGAGGTGATGGCTCATATATGAAGCCTAACTGATAGGCCGCCAACATGAAACATCTAGAACGTCGCAAATTATTTCTCTGGTGGCCAAACATGCAACTGTGCCCAAGTGAAGGAAAAGGGTAAAAGTTTAATAGGTACCCCTAGCGATTTTTCATACAAATTCATGAGGAACCGTTGTCTAAAAGGTGTTTGTAAGGTGACGCTACGGAAAATGACGGAGGAAAGATACTCCGCAGTTTATCTAGCTTAACTTAAGTCGAACTTCCTTATGGCACCGAGTCCCCCGCACTCATCTTCAAAGTTAGCACTGATCTTAAACCAAAACATGTCAACGCACGTCACTAACCGCATAAAACTTATTTCTTTCCATGTTCAATTTTATGAAACGACTACTTTGAGGGCAGTGAATTTCCATTCCGAACTGGCATACTACGGAAAAGATGATTAGCCATAGACTTTAACGCCTTAGTTTCTTTAGCCAGATTACCAAATTTGTAGTTGGGGTCAAGAAAACCTGAAAATTAGGCAACGTTTCACGTAAGCAGGTGTCCGCAGAAAACCAAATGATGAGCCTATTCGTAACTTATATGATCATATCG